CCCTCGACCGGGAGGTCTCGATCTAAGGTGGGAGGAATGTTAGGGGGAAAAAATTATGTATTTTAGCTTTAGGACAAATTCTATATTTATTTATCGGTTTAGACCCAGTTCTGTATTTTGTTCGTTCTTTTACTCGACCGGTTGAGCGGTAAAGAATGGTGAACGAGTTGTTCTATTCAAATTGTTGATTATTCAAATTAGTTATAACCAGAAAAAGTAAATTGTTGACATATCACAAAAATATTGTATCTAGGGTTTTCGTGGGTTTTGGGATAAACATCTTAAAAATATATTCATATACTTTTACATTTGGAATATTCGGTTATTCGGGTTTTTTTCCTTTGGTAGTTAAATAAAAATGTACAAAAACCACAGTGGCTTTTAGAATGGATTTTTTATCGATTACTCGCTTTTACTATGAACCTGCTTGTCGGCACTTTTGTCATCTAGTACATGGGTTTTTTAGGTAAATATAAGTGTTAATGGTCTTTCTGGAAACATTGGTTTTCATGGTAGATAGCAGCTGAGTTTATACGCGTAAATCTAATTTCTTTTCATGCAATGGTTTCCAAACCAATCTTGTATAAATAAGCAGAAACCTTTAATTGCTTTTCCGTTTTCTATTTCCTAAGCTGCGCTACTGCAATTAAGATAGGTATTGTTTTCTATGCCAGAGCTGTAAATTCGCACCTAGGTTTCCTACTTTAATGGCCTAGAGTTTATTGCATCCGTCTTTTTAATTTTGAGATTCTTTCCGTCGTAGAAACAGATGGAATATTTAAGTAGTTTTTGTTTAGCTTCAAAGAGACTTTTTTCCACTCCTTTGTGTCCTTGTCCAAATATTGCGATTCGTGTAACAATAGCACTTCGCACCAGTTACTTCTTAAGCAAGTACCTTGTACAGCTTTGATGATTACAAACTAGAGTATGCTAGAAGTCATGTCGCTTGTTGGCCTGACCTAGAATAAAAGTACTGTGGAACCAAAGGTTGTCTTATCCTTGACGTCCGTATAAGCTCGCTCGAAGCAGATCTCCGTGTACCAGGAAATCGTGACGAGTTTCCGTTCTCGCTGCCAAGTCGTCTCTACAGAGTTAGTTCCCCCAGTTGTTATTGCACCGTCCGCGAAGATTCAGTTTCCCAGTTTTGGGGCGAAAACCTTATCGTCACAAAAACTTTAGAAATTACTATTCCAACCTACCAATACTCGAACGCACTTTTTAATCTATGATTACTACTAGTCTACTAGATTATATGCCGACGATACATCTTTAACAGCTTCTGGAAGTGATCTTGACAGTTTATTGCGTGAAATTAACAATCATTTACCAGCTGTCGACGAATGGTTATGCAGTAATAAATTGACCTTAAATTTGACAAAAACTAAGTTTCTTATTTTTATGCCTCGTCAAAAGGAAAGCTACAATCTTTATCCACCACTAACTGTAGCAAATGTTAATTTTGAAAAGTCCTTTTGTGTAAAATATCTTGGTGTGTATATTGATTGTCACCTTACTTGGCATGACCATATTGACTACATATGTGGCAAAATTAGCAAAAATATAAATATAATGGTTAAGTTGAAGCATTATGTATCAAAAGCAACTCTTATTAGTGTGTATTACTCTCTTATTTATCCTTACCTTACTTATGCTTGTACGCTTTGGGGAAATAATTATAACGCTCCAATTCTGTTCTACGTGTTATAAATGATGTTCCTTTAATGGAATCAATAACTCCACACTACACATCCTTAAGCCTTCTGAAATTTCCTGATATTGTTAAACTGAACACATGTATGCTTTTTATGATTATTTCCACCATGAAAAGTTTCTTAATATACCTGTTTCATTAGTATTTGAACTACATAATTACAGTACCCGCAGTGCATCATCCAACCAAGTTGCAATACCTTTATTTCGAACTAATCTTAGGAGATTTTGTCCCAGCATTATTGGAAGTTTCTTTTGGAACGATATTCCGCAATCCATTAGAGACAAACCATCTAAAAAAATGTTTAGAAAAGCACTTTTGCGCTGGTATCTTGCTCAATACTAATGAAACATTATCTCTTTTATAATTTTCTGAGGTATTTTGTCATTTTTCCTTTACTTTTTTATTAAAAATCTCAAGTCCTTTGTTATACATAACTTTAAGGGGCACAATATTAGTTTATGTAGATGTGCCCCTCTCCTCTCCTTCAATATACAATGTAATTCAAGTTAAGTGTTGAAAATTCTGTTCTACGTATTTTTTCCTTTGTAAATCTTTATCTGATACTATGTTATATCCGTTATATTTACATAATTATGTATAAGCTATGAATTGGAGGAATAAAAAAATAAATAAAAAATAAAAAACTTGATAACAGAACCTATTGAGTGTATTTTGATAAAAAAATATGCTTAAAGTGACATTACCTTATATTGTACAGGTCCTAGGAGTAATTGTCTCTAAACTACCGAGAGAACCATCTGTTCAGAAGGTCGTCCTTGAATTTGAAAGAACTATGTGGTCAGCGACAAGAGAGGTTCTGTCCGGAGTCCAGATAACCCAGTGCACTTTCCATTTCCACCCTACATTGGCTAGACCGATCTTAGATCTCAAGCGCGACCCAGCGGAATTTTGTTTAATCAGTCAGATAGTCCGGCAAGTGTGGTGAGTGAGAGCGATAGCTCGACCAGCTGAAGGTTCGGCAGAAAAAGACAAAAACAATACGACAAATGGCCGCAAGAAGAGCAAAGGGCTCTAGTAAGCCTATGGGCAAAACGTCTCTACTAGAGAGAAAAGACGCACGAAAAATGTGGGAAGAAATTGCGCGCGAGTTAAATCGCAAGTTTGGAACCAAGCGCACAAGCGATCAATGTAAAAAGAAGATGAATTATCTCATCGAGCTGTAAAAAATCGCGAATGAACATCAAACCATGATTCGGCAGGGCAAGGAATGGTCCATGTGTAAGGCGCAACACGAATTCTACGTAAATGCCGCTGTCTTCTTAGAAAAGCGACATTCAGGATTTGCATGTATTCATTTGCATTTCCTGCTGTTGCCTGTCGATAATTTGTAGAAGTAAAGTGGCAATAGCAAAGCAAAGTGTCTGATTTGGGTTCATGTGTATTACCACACAATACGCGCCAGAAATGAAATCTGATCGACTATGTTTATTTTGACCTATTCTTGTATTTCGGTAGTGCGGCCCAAAAATTGTGTCACATTTTTCGGCTCTTCCGGTTGCGGTTTCAACTTTTCGAAACTTTTTGGGTTGCCTAATTTTTGGTTTGGGCTGTTGTGCCTAACCTAGCACATATTTTTATTTATTCTCAAAATAGGACTAAAAATGTAGTTCACAACAAGGTCTGTCTTTTTCCACAAGCGTTGTGACTTCAGATCTCAAGCAAACAATTTGTCCTTTTAGCACAACTAACACTGGACACAGTTCTAAGGCCTGTTCCAAACGTCGTGCTACTGCCGTGCCGAGCTCAAATGAAATAGTCATTTCGATTTAAGCACGGTAGTAGCGCGCCGTTTGAAACCATTAAGCGCGGAACGGCTGAATTAGGTTCGGCGCGACTGCAAAAATTTTTTTTGGGATCACTTTCTGAAGGAGCTTAGACACCAGGCTCAATTAGGGAACCAAGCCTTTTGATGACGTGAACAATTTTTCACTCACCGCCCCCGACTGGTTGAAGTGTAGTTGGAGGGGGACAGGGAAGGAAACATTTTTGTTACTTGCGCGGGAAAAAAACAAATGAGAAGTTATCTATTACCTTTTTTTTTTGTTGTAATTTTCCCGAAAAAACAAATGGGAAGTTATCTATTACCTTTTTTCATAACTTTTGCAGGAAAAACAAATGGGAAGTTATCTATTACCTTTTTTTGTGTAATTTTCGCGGGAAATAATATTACCTTATCTCGCTCCGCTCCGTACATATACGAATCTTCTGCCTTTGGTTAAAATACACTTTCTTCGTTAATTCTAAACATTGCTCACGGTCAAATGGATCCAAAGGGAATTTCAAACCTTGGAAATACTTGCTTTCTGAATAGTGTCTTACAAGCTCTGCTCTCAGTGACATGTTTTTCCGAAGGGCTCACTGGATTGCAACACAATCGTAAGAAGTGCACCTCATCTAAAACAGGTCTTGAAAATGTATTCAATATTATTTTAGCACGTCAAAATAACATTGATATTGGAGTGGAAGACATAAAATCCCAGCAGGCAAACAACATCAACCCATCGGTGAACTGTGTAATTGAACCAAGTACTTTTTTAATGAACCACAAAATTCGTCATTAGTGTGGTAATCCGCTTAGTTATTCTCGAAATTAAGCTTATTTCGACTTTATGAAACAACTGGTATCAGTCATATTAAAGTACGTATTTGACAACTTGATAATCTTGTTAGAACGTCACAGGAAGTTGTACCTTGTACGGAGCTACGAGTAAAATGTTTAAGGCCTTTTCACTGTTTATGGCGGTAAATTTATATTAGTCCTGGAAGCTTTGCAAGTCGTAGTTCTTTGCTCGATTATTTTTTGACACTGTTGTGTTGCGCGTTCATCTAAAATGTGCGTGTACGAGTACTAGGAGTGCAAAGAGTGAAAACGGTACGCAAACCAAACACTTTCGACCCCTCCCCATCCCCCTCCCCCAGCCCCACCCTCTGGACAAATGAGTAGTTTCTGGACCATATTGACTTGATAATCTTGGTAACTCCTAAATTGACTATGCCTCACACAAGAGAAAACTATTTTTTTACAACTGTGTACCACTGAGGTCTTGCATTAACAAAAAGGCTTCTCTGGTATGTTCCACTAAATACTCTAGGTCAGATGTGTTTGCTGTGTAGCACCCTAAACTTTGTGAATGCATATAAGACTGCACCTGGAACAGTTCACCCAGCAACATTGGTATCCTGTCTGCCACAAATTAGCAGCCAAATTCAGAAGGGCCAACAACAGTGTGCAGCAGAATTTTTTCAGGAATATTGTAGAGTACTT